GGCTAGTTGTAACCTCCAATGTAAGGTGAGCCCTTGGTGGCATGCCGTGTCCTAATATACTTGAATAAAAACATCGCCACTCCCAAGATAGGGACTTTAACTTAAAAAAAAAAAAAAAAAAAAAAAAATAAGTTATTAAGTAAAAAATAAATATTAAAATTATGTAGAAATGAAAATTAAAAAATGAAGAAATTTTTAGTTTTTAGTAAAAATTTAGAAAGAATATTTAAAAGAAAAAGTAATTACTATATTTTAGTAAGTCAGTTTTTAATTCTAATTTCACCAATATATTTAAGAAATAGAATAAAATAGAAGATATTTTCAATTATTAATATTGTAATTTTTTGAATTAAGTATTAAAATATTAGAAGTTTAAAAGACAATAAATTTGTAAAAAAAATATTAAATGTATTTTTTATTAAATAAAATATTTTTTTTATTATAATTAAAAATAGTTATAAGAGTTTTTTTATTGTATTTTGGATATAAATAAAATTTGTAGAAGATATTCTAAAAATGGTTATAATATTATATTAAAAAATATAAAGATTTGTTTTGGTATAAGTTTTTTTATATTTAATTAATAAGAAAAAACTTTTAATTTTGTTTTAAAATATTTCAAAAATTAGTTTAATTAAATTATTTTCATCAAAGTAGATACCAAATTATCATATGATTTTATATAATTTATATAAAGGTATTAGTTAGTTGCTGTAATAAAGGATTGATATAATAGTATTTAGTTTATTTTTGTTTTGAGAAATATATAAGAGATCATATTTAGTTAGATTAATTTTAATATTATTAAAGTTGTATAGTTATTGTATATTATTAAGAATATGTTAAAAGGTTTTGAAGTTTTTGTTATGTCAAACAATATCATTTATGAAAACTATAGAAGATATAGTTATTAAAGAAAATGAAATATTGACAATAATCTCAAATGATGAAGAGATAATTTTGAGTAAATAATTGTTGTATTTATTATATATGTAAATAAGAATTAGATCATAATAAATTTTTTTTTAAAAAAAAAAAATTTCATCTTGTTCAATATATGATTTGATATGAACAGATGATGTAAGATCATGTGCAGTAATTATTCTTGCTTGTTGGTTTGTATATAATTCAGTAATAAGTTGGATTCCTTTGAAAGGAATACCAATTCTTTTGTAAATATCCTGTAATTGAGATATGTTGATTTTATCAAAGGTTTTGAACATATATCTACAATCATAAATATTCCCACTCATCAAATCTAATATGTCCTTTTCAACTAAATCAATTTGTAGGTTACATGATGTATCTGATTGAGGAACGACCCATTTGAGATCATCATTATGCATATTATAATATTAATTCTAATATTATAATTGTTGCAAGTAAAAATAATACTGAAATATTCGAATTTCTACTGTAATATCTAATATATGCTATATAATGTTTGAACTTTTTTTATAAAGATTTTCATGCAGTTTAGCAAATTACTTGACCCAGTTTTTTTTGACCATTACGTTTATACATTGATTATTGGATACATTTAAACTTAATTTATGAACCTTTTTACGTCTTTATTTTTTGGGCTGGAATAAGTTTGAGAATCCGTATTTTCATTTTCTTTGTGAAAGCAGGAAACCTTCCACCTTACCTGAACTCTGATTCGTGTGCTATTCTTAACAAAAGTCATCGTTCTGAGAAAATTTAGGTATATTTCAAATTCAAATATAAGAAATTCTTGTAGATGTTAAATTACTATGTGTCAGGTTAAAAGAAAAAAATTAAAGTTGACTATGCGTTTTCGATTATATTTAGTTGACTATAATGTTAAATTTTGTTATTGATTTTGAATAAGGAAATCTTTTAAAATTTTGCTTTTTTTAATTAGTAATAATTTTAACCAATGCTGTAATGTCATAATACATATAATCGGGTCAATTTTTATGCAGCGTAATAGAGTCAGGCATAAATTTGACTAACCTGTCAGATTTCAGAAATGCATTATAAATACTAGAATTTTTAATTATATAAGTATGTTTTATTAAACTTATCAAAATTCAAGATTCTGTCAAATCTTTTCTCATAAAAACGAAATGATGAAATACATATAAGCAAATTTTGAAAAGCAGGAAATCAGATTCGTTGAGGTCCGGAGCACCACTTCACTCTGAACAATGCTATCAACTAATGTGTTAAACTACATGGAAAAAAGCGCACTATAAATAATACTAAATTGTAAAACGATCCAATTGTACGTATCATTAGTTTGAAATAGAAACAAAATACTGCACTGCTTTGTTTACAAATAATGACAGTTAATTTAATGACATCATTTTATATGCTAGAGAATGATATAGCATATCAAGTGATAATAAATAATTATAATGGTTGACGAAATAATAGTGACAATTTAGATTATCCTATTCTTCTCGAAATCCACCTAGAAAATTTTCCTTGCCTATTGTCTGCTCTATTCTGAATTTGTAAAACTAGTATTATTTTTCTCTTTGAATTTTTCTTTGGTAACTTCAAAGAAAAGCATGCCTAAACTCAATACATATATAAAATTGATGGGTTATTTGATCCAATTACTAAACACAAATAAATTCATCTTTAATTTTATATAGAAATTATATATAAAGTAATTACTGATATAGTTCTTATTAGAAATTACATATTGCACCCAAGCGAGAGTTGACCCATACGTAATTTTTCTTACCTATTGCTGTATTGACGGGACTTAAGTTCCTCTGCCTTGCTCCGGAAATAAATTTGAATACGGATCATAATAATGACAAATAGGTACATAAAATGTTTATACTGTAGAATATTTATCCTTCTATATCGCCACTATTAATATCCATTTTTCTCTTTTTAGAATCGATAACTATTTTTCTACTTTCACGATCAATGTCTATTTTTCTCTTTTTGGAGTCAATATCCATTTCTATATATTCAGTAGTGTCGATATCTATTTTTATATTTTCAACATCAATATTATTATCTGATATAACACATTTTTGTAGTTGATTTATACAACTAATAAGTTTGCTACTATAGATAAAATTATTATCATTATTGTTAATATCGCTAGAGCAATTATTTTCTATTATTATTTCATTATCAGAGTTTCTAAATTCTACCAAAATTTTAGAGTCATTCTTCCATTTTGTAATAATTTCATAAATTTCTGAAGCTGATGGTCGCTTATCCGGATTTTTATCCCAACACTTCATTAAAAGTTCTGAATAACACGTCGCTGTACCTTCAAGAATATGAGGTCTTAATCCACTACATATTTCTATAATTAAGCTTGTTTCATTACTTTCATATTTAGAAAATGCAATTTCCCCTGAAGAAATTTCCCACATAATTATTCCAAAGGAATAAATGTCAGATGCTTTAGTAAGCGGTTTTCCTTGTAAAATTTCAGGCGCAACATAAGGTATTGCACCATAAATTTCACCAGATTCTGTGTCTAATGTTTTATTTATTGCTGTTGCAAAACCTAAATCTCCAATATATGCAGTATGTAAATGGTCCTGGAATATGTTTCTACTATGTAAATCTCGATGAATAATATCATGCGAGTGAATTAATTGAAGATCAATTCTAATTTTTTTGACCATTCCATTTGTGCAACTTTGTAAAGATTCTTACGTAAAGATCCCATTTTTGCATATTGCATCACTAACATATAATCGCCTGTACCTTCATCCCTCGATACTCCATGACATTGTAAAAACGTTGGATTTTCAGAGCCAATATTAGAATATGCATTTAGCTTTAAAAATATTTATTAACTAAATTATTAGTTGACTTTAAACTTTAATAAATATTGAAGTATCGAATACCCACCTCTTTCACAAGTTCCTTACATCTATTATTGTTTCCACGAAACAATTTCAGTGCAACAGGTTTAACTATATTTATAGTTATATCTCGTTTGTGAGTCCATGCAGCATGATAAACTGTTGCAAACCCGCCTTTTCCAATTTTTTTTATAAATTCTAATTCAATAAATGGAATCCATGATATTAAACTATTTTCTAATAATAATTTTTTTAGAAAATTATCAATATCATTATTTATATTATTGTTTGTTTTTTGAGAATTAATTCTTGCTTTTTGCAACCATTCAATAGCCTTTTTTTGATTAGGTAATGTTCCGATACCGTTTCGATAACATAATCCAAGTTCATATTGTCCACTAGGACTACCACCATCCGCAGAACTTAAAAGCCATCCAAACGCCTTTTTTTCATCCTTAGCTGTGCCTATACCTTTTATATAGCAGCGTCCAAGGCTATATTGTCCAACAGAATTGCCACCTTCAGCTGATTTCAAATACCAGTCAAATGCCTTTTTTTCATCTTTAGCCGTGCCTATACCTTTTTTATGGCAACGTGCAAGCTTACATTGTCCTTGAGAATTGCCACCTTCAGCAGATTTAGAATACCATTCAGATGCCTTTTTTTCATCCTTAGCTGTGCCTGTGCCATTTTCATAGCAATGTCCAAGGTTACATTGTCCTTGAGAATTACCACCTTCAGCAGATTTCAAAAACCATTCGAATGCCTCTTTTTTATTTGTATCTGTGCCTTTACCATCTTCATAGCAAATTCCAAGGTTACATTGTCCTTGGGAATTGCCACTTTTAGCAGATTTCAAATACCATTCAAATGCCTTTTTTTCATCTTTAGCTGTGCCTGTACCATCTTCATAGCAAATCCCAAGGTTACATTGTCCTTGAGAATTACCACCTTCAGCAGATTTCAAATGCCAATCGAATGCATCTTTTTTATTTGTATCTGTGCCTGTGCCATCTTCATAGCAAACTCCAAGGTTACATTGTCCGTTCGAATTGCCACCTTTAGCGGATTTCAAATACCATTCGAATGCTTCATTTTTATTTATATTTGTGCCTGTGCCATATTCATAGCAAACTCCAAGGTTAAATTGTCCTTGAGAATTGCCACATTCAGCAGATTTCAAATACCATTCGAATACTTCTTTTTCATCCTTAACTGTGCCTATGCTGTTTTTGGAGAGCCATTTAAGTCTATATTGTGCAAATGGATTTCGATTTTTAGCGGACTCTAAATACGATTCAAATTCAACACTTTCATCCATGATAAAGTGTGATCCTAAATCAAGACGTTCTTGGAAACTTAGTAATGCATAATTAAATTTAATTATGCATGTACAGTACGTATTTATATTTTCTCTGATACTCGATGATCTTTACTATGTATGTCTGGCTAAACTAAAAAACCTCTATGGAGGGATCCAAGAAAAATTCAAATGATTAAATGGCCTTTTTCTGTAGATTGGATGATGTGGCTATAATTATCAGACAAACTCATTGGAGATTAAATTCTTGTTTTCTCTATTTTCCTTACACACATATTGGCTAATCAGAAACATAATTTTACATTTTTTAATTGACATATTTCACATGAGTAATGGCAGTACCCCTGGCCTTATCTATTTTTTTCGATATTACAAACTCATAAAAAGGGAATAACCAATAATGAGTCAGTCCGATATAGAATCTGAGCTTGTGCAAATAGAAAAAAGAGAAAGTGAAAACACTCAGAAGCTATATATTTAAATCGACTGACCGAAAACGTAAGAAGCAAAATTTTATTTATGATGTAATTGGGGTCGAAATTTATGCGGATTTGGGTTTTAAATAACAAAATATGATACACTATGTATAAGAAGCGAAAAGATATTTCTATATTCCTCCTAACGTACGTACGTATTCTAAATTTTACCTTGTGTGTTTGTGTTACAGGCACAAATAAGTATCCCTGCAAAATAATGCACATGGCTTTATTTAGAATCATGGCCCGAATTAAGATTTAGACAAAATTTTAAATTACACCCAGCGCATTATTTCGTAACAATTTGTGAGTTGTATAATATGTCAGCAATGCTGGAACTAGTCAACTTTTATATATATCGGTTTAAAAATAAGCTTAATACTGATATATGGGGGTGAGTCAACAGAATCCAGACAAATTGTTTTTATTGAAATTTTTCTTAAACTTTAAACTTAAATATCTCACTTAAAACTTAATTAATTTTTGATAATTTAGTATTTATTTTAATTCTACAAATTTGTAGAATTAAAATAAATACTAAATCATCAATATTGATTAAGTTTTGGTTAAGATATTTAAGTTTAAAGTTTAAGAAAAATTTCAATAAAAACAATTTGTCTGGATTCTGTTGACTCACCCCCATATAATGTATATCTGAACTAGAATAGTTAAAAATAGATTATGGAAAATTGATAAATATGCATGAGCAGGGTTATATTGTTGATTATATTAATCAGAATAGATATGGTGCGTTTTTAATAACGATTATGACGGCTGAGAATATAATAGAATTATAACATAAGAATAAAAGTTTCGTTCATATAAAGAATTTGCTCGCATATTGAATAATTTTGATTCGATTCATTTCACTTTCACTATGTCCTAATTTTACAATAGTTTTTTTTAATGAGTATTTATGCCATTCTATTAATAAATTTTTAGTGACTACGTATAGCATAACTTTGGATGGTTGTCAATTTCTATGCAAAGTGATACAAAAGTTACGTTTTTGATGCACCAAAAGTATCATTATTAATGCATTAATAATAAAAATATTAAAAACGTAACTTTGAATTTTCCGTCTGTCTCCACTTGCATATTCGTGTAACACAACAAATCTCATGTGATTTGCTTCGGACTTATAACGGTTTCCGTTTTCTAGTTTTATTAAGTCTTTTAAATTTAGTAATAATTTTTTGAATATCACTTTAAATATCAGAAGATTTACGCACATATCCTTTTTTGAAATTTAGACCGAATTTTCGTTTAATGTTATTCCCCCCTCTGTCTCCTAAGCTAAATTAAAAAAATAAAAGTGACTGATTGGTTAATGTAATAGCCAGCGTGGTCTCCAGAATTCGGGATTGTTCAGTACACTATGTTTAATTTTTAATTTTCTCCCCCTCCCGTGGAAATGCGAAAAAAAACGTTACCCGAAATTTCAACTTAAAAGGCCTTACTTGGAAGCTACAATAACTGATACTAATGTCAATAATGGGTCGCTTATGAGTGCAATCATTACGTTGTACAATTATTCATACAATTTATCAATTATTTATACATCATGATGAATAAATTTGAACGGATGAACTGATGAGAGAGAATAGCATACACCATACGCCATACACCGATGCGCAATTTAGCACTAGCCTTAACTAATAATTTGTGAAATAGATACATTCGTTATTAATTTTTCAATAAACACTTCAATTCCTTGTATTAAAAAGCATTATTTAAATACGTTTTCTTGTTACAAAATTTCATCCCATTATTCAAGCGGTTATCTATCAATCAGTTACAAAATTATATTTTGCAATAATTAATAATTCGATAAATATCCATATCAGGTCGGGTAAGAATTTCCAAAACATCTAATACAGTGATACTGATATGCAGTTAGATATTAACTGTCACATTGCGAGTGATACAAACCCAACAGCCAATCATAAAACGCAATTATTTAACTCGCGAACGAAGCAATAAAATAAATGAAAAGTAAAAAAATATAAGAAAATGAGTGTTTAATATTACTTGGATGCATTAATTATAAAAAGCGGAAATGAAATCTTACACATTGAAATTAATGACTTATTCCAGTAGTACCGTACGGTGTGGACAAAAATACTCAGGGTACTTTACAATTAAAGCTGTATATAAAGATATTATAGTCGGAGGGATACTATGGTCAGCGCAGGGGGGTATAAATTGCACTATATGAGTGCTGCAGTAATATTTTATAAATTAAGTGCAATTAATCCATGTTTATTAACCGGCAATTAATCTGTCCACGCTGTACGGTAGATAGTCTCTAATCATAACGTTCAAAGTTCATAACTCCACATTATTTTTAAGTTTCCATTTTGGGAGTACATCATTCGCATAAATAATTATTTTCTCACTAGAGGTCGTAAAACTAAATTATTTTGTGCCTGGAGTTTAACATATATTGATTACTACTATATACAGTATTATCTAAGACATATGAATAAGTTGTATTACACTACAATACAAATATAAATGCATTAACGGGAGATAGGCGTTTTCAAAGTCATATTTTTTTCGGTGTTGAAATATGGATTGACTATTAGACAAATTAAATGTAACTATTAATACATAAAAATGTAACTTTTGTATCACTGAATAATTTAATATCTTTCGGACAATAATTACGCAGATATATTTGTGTAATGTTTACCATTGATAAAGTGCAAGAGTTTAATTTTTAAAAGAATAATTACACTACATGTTTCTAGAATTCTGGTTTGAAAACCAATTAAAAATAATTATTATTTCTAGATTTTTGGTTTCATATGCAATTAAAACTGTCTGAAACTATTAACAAAAATATAAACATGCTACACGATTATCAAATCTATTTAATTTAATGATTTAATTAATGTAATTCAGATTTTTTTTTTTTTTTTAAGATATCGCTCAAAGTAATTTCAACTATTCTCAAACACAACGTCTTTAGATGTTAAGATGTAATTCGCAAGACAGGCTAACCTTAAGTCTAGTAATCTTTCTTTGTGTAATCTAGACATAATTTATGTTTTGAATACCGTTTAAGTATTCCTTTGGATTAATAATTATTGACGTTTATACGTAACATTTTATAAATTTAGATAATACGGTATTTGAATAAAAACCTTTGTCAGATTATTTAAGATCTTACCAAAGATAATAAAACAATAAGTATTTACATGATCGATCGGCTAAATTTTGAGTAACCTTCAATTAATGAAACAATGAAATTCTTTGTTGCTATTTGCGTATATAAATTAATAAAATTTATATTAAATTTGTGCACTAAATATTAATTTATACGCACCGGTACTGGTTTTTCAAAATTTCATTGTCATAGAGAAAATAATACTATAACAGCCTTTAGATATAATAAGGTCATAAGGTTCTTTTTTTGGTGTTGTTTATAATATATTGAAGGAATTCGATCGGATTGTCCGTAATATTGTGTATATAAACATACACTTGTTATATATTATAATAATAAAATCAGTAACCGAAGAACAGATGTAGAGAACATAGAACTAATTTAAAGATTTTAATACTAAATATCTAATTCTAAATAAAATTCTTTAACGTTTGCTTAAAACTTACTTCATATTTTTATAGAAACAATGAAAACTCAGCATACCTTTACTAATTTATATTTATCTATCAAACAAAGAACTTAAGAATATCCGGTACTTACATATGCACGTATGCAACTTTATTTTCAACGTATCTTTCATGCAGCGCTATTAAGAATCTACTTTAGAAATAAAATTATATGTTATTATATAATACAATTATCCATACTAATTCATCATATTTGTGTTGATTGCATATGTTAAAATACGTTTTCACAAATTTAGTTTAGCGATTCATATGAATAAATTTCCGAAAATGTGAATCTATCTGCAAATATGTAAATGCGTTTAAGATTACCTTTTGCTTAAAGTTGTAATTCCATGCAGTCAAAAAGACTACATATCAGAATTCTTACATAGCCTGATATAGATAAATAATTATTTGAAAACTTGACTCAATCAAAAATTTTATTGTTTAATTCTTCGCCACTCGTTAAAAAAAAATAAAAAATCTAAATTTAAATTTAAAAGTTCCACAGGTTTATTATTATTTGATAACAAAATTCAATATAAACATAGTAATATTATTACCTAAGAAAGTTGTTTATGCCTCAAAATAGTTGATCATTATGTCACAAGAGTCTTATACACAAATTAGAACTAGCAAATATATGAATATTGCATTTGTGCTTCGCGGTTAAATATTTTTTGTCAAAACGATGCATAATATTAATATAATATCAGTTATTGTTTGTAATACAACCACAAATTACGATTAATTTATTAATGTTTCTCGGATCCATGTTTAGCATAAGATTAAATATAAAATTCACTGCCTATGTGCGTTTTTTAAATTTATTGGTAGCCCTTCTCTGTCTTGAAAAAAAATTAGTTTATTAGATCGAATTGTTGGAAATAACAAAATTTCTAAACAATTCCTAATTTTTTTTTTATTCCTGAGTAAATATTGAATTATGAACTCAGAAAATAAAAAATTATCATTCTTTTAAATATATATTTATTTAATTATAAAACTCTTAAAATTTCTTCGTTTTTTCATTCATCTCATTCCATTCTCATTCCATTCACATTACATTCACATTTCATTCTCATTCTATTCACATTTAGTTTATCATTTTTATTAGTTTAATAGAAAAATGAAATTTATTCTAAACATAAATCTTTTATTCCTGGCAATTTTTTGCCTATCCTTTCAATTTTCGACAAGTGATCTTATGGGTTGGCCAGCACTTGATCTTCCACCACCAATCAGACCTGATTTTACTGCTCGCGTAAATTTGGCAAAGGTTAACAATGCTTCTCTTAACCTTTTAGGCAATATTGCAAATGGTACTTGCCCTGCTACAGATACATCTTGTTACTGGCCTTGCTCTAAATGTACTCGCCCAGCTGATATTTTCTATTGCCCAACTGTGAATGGTAAGTAAAAAATTTGTCACTTTTATATTACATTAAATTTTTGTATATATTTTTAATATATATATAATTTTATAGATTGGGGTCTTAGTTTTGATGATGGTCCAACGTAAATATCATATATATACTATTATAATCATTTAAAGTTGACTCTGGTCTAGAATTGTAAAAAAAAAATTTATTTAGCAGTTAATAATGCATGTAAATTTAATTGCTAATTTTATTTGTTTAAATACAATTTCATATATCTTTGAAATTGCAATTCTAGACTTGTTCAAACTTTAAACTACGATATTTACTTATCATATCTTATAAATGAATAAATTAATTTATTTATTTATTTCATATTAATTTTTCTTTTTTAATTCAGTAATGATACAATTGCCATTCTTGACCTTCTCAAAGCTCAAAATCTAAAAATCACTTTCTTCGTTGTTGGCTCTCGAATAGTCTCAAATAATGCTATCTTATTAAGAGCTTTTCAAGAAGGTAAAAATATTTATTTATTGCTAATTACCACTGTTGCTTAATTAATTAATTAATTATGCCGCTTAATTAATTACTACTTTTACTAACTTTTACTAAATTTTATTAAATTGTTTTCAAGGTCATCAAATCGGTGTTCATACATGGTCTCATTCATACCTTACTACCCAATCTACTGAACAGGTTATTTCAGAATTAGAATGGACTGCAGAAATTATAAAAAATGTAACTGGTGTCAGACCAATATACATGCGTCCACCATTTGGTGATTATGATGATCGTATACGTGATATATGCGCTCAACTCGGTTATAAAATTGTTATATGGGATAAAGATTCAAATGATTGGCATTTCAATGATACAGGTTTTCAAACTTCATGGATTACTTCAAATTTCTCTAGTTGGATGAATGAATCTTCCACTACTGGTCATATTTCCCTTGAACATGACTTATTCTCAGTAACTGCGGCTCAAGCTCCACAAGTTGTTGATATTCTTGTAAAAGCTAAACGTATTATTAGACCTGTTGCCGATTGTTTAGGTTACCCTGGTTTATATTATAACGAAAGTAAACCTTTAACTACTACTACCCCTTCTCCTTCTCAACCTGTTCCAACTAAAGCTTCTTCTCCTTCTGATAAATCTAGTTCTAGTACTAGTAGTAGTAGTAGTAGTAGTTCTAGTAATTCTCCAAATTCTATAAAATCTTCTGCTACATTATCTGTTGATTACTTTAATTCTTGGTTATTTATTTGTATTAGTTTCTTCTTATTATTTGGTCTTAATAATTTTTAAATTGCTCTTTATTATCCTTTAATTTAAATCCTTCCTTCTAAACATGTTATTGATATCATAATATATTATAATATCTTATAATGTATTATAAATATATTATAATATGTTTTAGTAATAAATTTTTTCTTTCTAATACATTAATAAATTAAATTATATAAATTCTTATGGTCCTTTTATAGGTTTACTTGTTACATCACTCTTGTTTAATCTATTTCGTTTTTTTTTACATATTAATTAATGTAAATTGTATATACTGTATATGAAAATGAAATTCTCATCCAATTGAGGTACAAATTGAGGTATATGTTAGAAAATGAAACCCAGAAAGCTTGCAAATAATGGATTATTTAGTTATACAATGTAGAATTAGTCAGATCATCTGAAAACGGCAAAATTCTCTATAAATACTAAACTTTCACAAACATACGAAAAACGTCAAAGATAGTAGTAGATCACGTTCAGCAAGCTGCACTATGGCTTCAAATTAATACGGTGTGCTTATGAAATTTTGATATTGATACACTCAAATTAAATGCATCATGCTCATGAAATTATAGAATCATGCGCATGATTTTTATATATACTTATAATGCCAGCAAAGCAATATAATGCTGGTAGATTATCTAATTTTTATGCACGGATTTATTAAAATGGTAGATTGCTGTGAAATTCTATATTTATTAACTTATTTATTGATGCTTACATTTGTTTATCATTACAATTATATATATTTAAATACATATGAATAAAATTTACATATTTATCAAAAAGCCACTAAAATATGAGCCCGAAATTTTAATAGATTCCAAAATATTCTGAAAATTCAAAAGTTTCTGAAAAATTCCCATGTGCATTTCATGCGCATCATGCGCGAAATGTGAAAAAATTGGGATTTGCACATTACTAGTGACACGGGCGAAACGGCGAGTCAATCGCTTCTCAATCGGATATGTCGTGTAATCTACGAACGGCTTAGTCGATAAGAGGCGGTTAGATTTGGCGAGTGGTCCGTTTATGATCGTATGTTTTACAATGTAGCGAAGGCAGGTTATTATTAAGGTCAAACTTCATTACAAGCGCGAACTACTCATGTCTTCTTCATAGGCTTGAAGCCTTTATTATATACTTTCTTTTACATAGTACACATTATACATCTTATCCGTGGTATATTACTTATGCTTATTATTCTATACTAATTATACCTTTTATCCCACCGATTACCTTATAAAACCGATATCCCTTAAAGACCCGATATACGACGTATAATACCGGGAAACCCATCTTAGGTAAAAGATCGACATACCCGAGAGAGCGAACTCATACATAGGGATGGGTCCAGTCGGTCATCGATCGGTTATTATCGGTTACCGGCTAATGACCAGTGTTACGGTGGGGGAGAGCAATTCGTGATATTAGCCAATCTATCTCAGTACCGTAAGTATTAAAATGATAAGAGCGATATTTATTTATTAATACTATAGAGCCCAAAAGATTCTTTGTACAAAATAGTTTAGCGAAGAAGAGATCTTATTTAATGTTAGTTACGCGAGAGGAAGACAATTACTGAAAGGAGTTTGTACTATTGTTATATTTTTCACAAAAGTTCTACCTTTATTAGCGACCATCACCCTTTATATAGAAATCCTATTAGACTCTAATAAGCAAAAAGGCTATTCTACGTAAAAATGTAGTCATAGGTTTTGACTTTACAAGTATAGTAATCATTACAGAAGTTTTAATAAAGTAATTACGCAGATCACTCCTAATGACTAAATGATTTACTATATGGTTACACAAAAAGCATAATGTTCGATTTGTCACGTAACACCAGTCGCTCGCAGTCGGTCATATGGTCAAATAACCGGTCAAATAACCGGTCAAATAACCAGCTAATAACCGATCAATTATTGTTTTTTTTTAATCGGAGGTATATGATAACTGTCCGATAAATTTTTTTATTAGAATTCTACAAGTCAATAGAATTCAAATAAAAAAAATCCATTGAATTTGATCTTATGGTCATCAAGATACCTCAATCAAAAGTTAGAGAAAATTTTGCCGCGGTTATTATTTTGAACCGTTTTATTTTTGAAAAACTTTGACTGAAGGTATCTCGACAACTACCTAGCCAAATTCAATAAAAAAAAATTTTTATTAGAATTCTATGAGCCTAAAGAATTCAAAAAAAAAAAAAAAAAACAACGAATTTGGTCAGATGGTCGTCGAGATACCTTAAATCAAAGTTTTTTTTAAAAAAAATATAAACGTCTATTAAAATGTTAGCTGCAGCAAAATTTTTTCTAACTTTGATCGAAGGTATCTTGATAACCGCCTAATAATTTTTTTTATTAGAATTCTACAAGCCAATAAAATTCAAATAAAAAAAATTCATTGAATTTGGTTATGTGGTTATCGAGATAGCTTCAATCAAAGTTAGCGAAAATTCGCTGATATTATTTTGATAGACGTTTTTATTTTTTCAAAAACGTTGACCGAAGGTATCTTGACAACTAACCGACCAAATTCAATAAATTTTTTTTAATTAGAATTTTACGAGTCTGTAGAATTCAAAAAAAAAAAAAAATAAAAATCATCGAATTTGGTCAGGTGCTCATCGAGATTCCTTCGATCAAAGTTTTTTTAAAAAAATATAAATGTTTATTAAAATAATAACCACGTCGAAATTTTTTTCAAAGGTATCTCGGTAATCACCTGATCGAATTCGATAATTTTTTTTATTGGAATTCTACAAGTCAATAGAATTCAAATAAACAAATTCATTGAATTTGGTCATGTGGATGTTCAAAGTTAGTGAAAATTTTGTTGCGGCTATTCCAAATACTTAGAAAACCTATAATCATAATACTTTCTGACTGTAATAAATATTATGTTTATTGAGTTATATGGAATAAATAAAATGATTAATTTATTATAGTTATTATTTTGTTAGTTTAAATTTTTTTGTTCGTATTTCGATATATTTATCACATGATGATCGAAACTTTTTTGGATGGCGATTTTTACCCTGGTCATCAATTTTAAATCCAGTCAATGATCTGCAAATTTTGACTGGAATTATGGATAATGGATTTTCTATCGATCAGACGATCAGATGGTGTTGCTGATATGTATTTCATGTCTAATTATACGATAATTAAAGCATCTATTATTTTTATTAAGAATATAGCACCAGTCAACCGGTCGGCTAAGCCGCTCTGACCGGTCATTATCGGTTATGGTTAATGACCGTGGCTAAACAGTTATGACTGTAACTGGACCCATCCCTACTCATACAGAGGGATCTCCAAAATTCCAGGTCAGAATACCTCGGATTTAGCCCGGCATTTAGTTAGCATTTAGTAATACAAGTTAACTATTTTGGACCAAAATTATTAGCTAGGCAGCTTTACTTAATAAGTGAGCTATGGTTTCATTAGTAAAACTTTTAGTGATCTTGGGC